GGAATTTTTCCAAGTGACAATGTGAAAGAAATGTACGGATAAATGGACAAATGCCAACGTATCCTCGAAGAGGAAGACGTTCATCAAATTCTTAGAATATTTCAAAGGAATCAGAAATCCGCAAGTGGTAGCTTTAGATGGAGCTGTCGATGTGAAAACGTCGTACAATGCTATATTTGAATCGCACCATTTCAAAGCTTCGCTTATCCAGCTTTATCATCCAAATATGTGAAAAGAGACACGAGATTTTTTTTACATCTTACAATGGAATAAAGATTTTAAAATGAAATTTTCGTAATTAGAAAAATTTAAATTTTTATCAATTATATCTTGGAAATTTTTCTCAATCTTTCTTTCAATCTTTCAAAAATTGAAATATATAAATGATATAAATGATATAAAAGATTTCTTTTGTTAACAATAATTCAACTGCAACAATTAACTTAGTACGTATTGTCTATATATACCATATATCAACACGTCAAATCCATGTAATCAATGTTCACGTTTGGATTAGGTTGGAACGTTGACTAGTTAACATATGAATTATTACATATGTGTTTGATTACCATACGCTCTCTACAATGTCTCGATTAAAACATGACAAATACGTAATTGAATTGACATACAAGTGTTGGGATATAAGTTTCTGGGATATACAGGATGGCCAATTTAACTCGATCGTTCCAAATGTTTCCAAATTGTGTTTCGTGACGAGACTTGTTAGGGGTGGAATTGTTTCAAGGTAAATAAGAGATCAAGAAGGGTTCGATGTTTCAAGATCGCTCGAAACAATATTTCAGAAGCAAAATTTTTCACTTTTCTTAAAAGTTGATGCAAATAAAAATAAAATCGAACAGAATACTTGACAATAGATAAGAAATTTTTGAAGAAATTATCAATTTTGAAAAGTTTCTCCGCGATTATATGTATTTATCTTTAGGATTTTGGATTTATCTAGGCTATCAGAAATAAAAATTCTTTATTTTTCTTAAATTGTGTGACCATTGATCGCCAATTTCGCAATATTTCTCTGGGAAAAAAGTACAGATTTAATCATTCGATGCATTGTTACCTCTCTCTCAATATTGGGATTGATTTAAATCAATCACGTCGTTGAATTCTTCTCGATGATGTCATTTACGTAATTGGCGGTTTCGAGGCGCGGATAGTGATATATTCTCACAGAGGAAAATGCACAATTATTCATTTGTCATATGAAACTCGATATAATATTTACGCTGTTATAAAATTTATGATCAATAAGAATTTACCAGATGAAATTGACATATGAAATATAAAATCTTGTTAATAAATTCCGTTTCGTCGTTCATTTGAATTTTTAATCGATTTTATTTTATTAGTTGATTCGATTCAACCTATCTTCAAATTTTTTATCTACAATTTTTCGAACGAACTTTTGATTAAATAAAAATTGTCAAATATTTATCTTAAAAAATTAATAATATAATTTTTTTTTAACGATGAAAAATTTTAACAATTCGTCAAATCAGAATAATTACAGTTCAATTATATTCAAAATTCATTGAATGAAAATCGATCGTATCGTAAATTTCTTATAATCAGTCACGTTTTAGAGTCAGTAAGACTTTAAGTAGAACTACTCTATGCTTAGTCAGACTTAGTCTTGAAACTCTTTAGTATCGTCTACCACCATCGTCCACTCGTTTCTCCACACCATTGAAAGCACCCTCCACGGTCGAAAAAAAAAACTTGTCTCGCAATATTCCTGGCATTCATAATTTACGTGTCGCGACCGAAGGGTCGCGCATTAGTCTCCTTTCTTTCTTTTTCTCACCCTTATTGCGACACAAAGAAGGATTCTCTCTCTCTCTCTTTCTCTCTTTTTTACACGAAAATAAAATATCTTCGTTATGTCAATTTTCTTCATTTTTGATTATCGTTACGATAATGTTTGATGACGTGGGGAAAGATTTGAAGAAAAAAACATGGTTTTAAATTTATTTCGAAAGATTGCTTTCGATGTAGTATTTTGCATCCGATTTGATTCTTTGAAAACGAAACGAAAGCAAGCGTGATCGCCTTTGATGTGGATGTATTTATTTTCACATCCAGAGAGTGCATCCGGCAGTAGAGTAGTTGACTTGAAAGAGGGTCTCTCAAATTTGGGTTTTTGATCTTTTTCGATTCGGTTTGGAGAAGAGAATTTCGATGTCAAGAGTGTTAAGCCCGGGTGTATTTATTTGGTGTATTTATTTCGTATGCGTGGGTTGTGAATACGTATTATTTCTCGATGAATCGAAAGAGAGTGACGAACTTTGAAATATCTCTTTAGAAATTTATTATTATAAAATTCTCTCTCACAATTTCTCAAAATAGAAGGAATAATACTTTCGATAATTTTCTTCTGAATTTTATAATTTATTTCTAATTTATATATTATGTCTCAAGTTTTTAAAGAAGCTAAGGAACAAGGGGATCGAAATAAATTCTTTCAAAATCAAATCTACTTAATCTACTTTTGATTTGATTCATCATGTAATTTTATACATCGAACTTACACGAAATGAAATGATTTGAAAATTACGATAGGATTAAAGACAAGTTTCCCGTCGAAATTGGAATTAAATTGTGGAAGCCTAATGGCATTAATGGTCTCGGATGCACCTGAAAGCAGGCATGGAATGCAAATCTGTAACACAAGGGGGAATCGTGTCACGGATCGTTGTCCCTTTGATCCGTACCAAAATTCGGAGCATGGATTAACGACGATCGTTGGAGTGGTGTGTCGTTACCAGATCCTCCAGGTGGAAATTTGCTTTGGCGGAAATTAGGTAACGCAACCGCTATCTGGCCTACTAAATAGCCCTTTACCAGCTTTCAACCTCCCCCGCGAGAATCCACCCGTTTATCACGATGGACGATCACAAGGATGATCACGATTTCTATAAATTTAACTCGTGTTAAATTCTTGATCCATTTTCTCGATTATAAATAATGGAAGAATATAGATGATATGATTCTAATCATGATTTTGATTACTATGTTTTTATTTTTTGTTCGAAATAAAATATTAGAATAAACAAGGAGATCGAACAATTATTTTAATGTAAAATAAAATGTGCTCGAATTAAAAGTATTATTGAAGGATGATATAAATTCAAATGGAAATTATTTAATAAAAAAAAAAAAAAATAAACGGATCAAATTATATTACACTCTTCGTTTAATTACCATTTTACCTGAATTATAATCATATCATTTCCAGTTCATTCTCCACCAACGTCACTTCATATTTTCCAATAATCTTATTACCAGCCCTGCCAAAAGTGAATTACCGTAACCACGTATGATAGGGGGAAAAGGCACACTGTTGCTGCACATTGTGTGTGTTTTCACGTTTTCCATTTCAAAGAGGAAGGCACAAAACGTGGAGAGTAAAGGAAGAGAATAAAAGAAAAAAAAAAAAAAAG